AATGAGCGCCTTTTCCGATCATTCGAAGCGATCCAATTTAACCATTTTCGTCCAATGAGCGCCTTTTCCGATCTTTCAAAGCGATCCAAATGAACCATTTTCGTTTAATGAGCGCCTTTTCCGATCATTCGAAGCGATCCAATTTAACCATTTTNGAATGCATCCCAGGGTCATCCAAAAAAATAATGATGATGACAAAACAAATAAATAAAAAAATTGCAAAGAAACTTTTACCTTGAACTAGATTAGATTTTTTTTTTTTATTAATCATATTTTTTTTTTCAGGATCTTTTTTACTCGATCTGTGTTTGTTTGGTCTGTTTGTTTTTCATTATCAGAAAAACTGGGGGGGTTTTTTTTTGGGGGGGGGGGTTTGGTTAGTTTCCAAACAAAAATTCAACCGGTTGCCACCCACACATTGAGGAGGGGGGAAAACTGTGAAATAACAAAATTTGAAAATTCAATTACCACTACCACTGATAGTCCAGAGAGAAAAAAAAACAGATAAGGTCCTTGTTATCCGATTTGATCTATCAAAAGGTCAAGTCGAACTGTGGCCACACAAAAAGACCAGGTCAGGTGAGCTAGCCAGGTACACACACACCTGGTCGACACAGGGACACAGATAAAATTTGAAATTTCGACAAACTTGACAAACAAAAATGTCATTGTTGCAGCAGCATTTTGGGGGAGTGGAGGGGGGAAATAGCCTGCCTGGAAAAATGCACCGAATCAACAGAAACAGAAAAAACATTAATCGTCTGTTCCAATTGGAATTTTTTTTCCTTTAGTGCAATTTTCGTACACGGCTGCTCAAAAAAAAATTGATCCAAATCACAAATTGCACTCGTGAAAGAAAGTCGTGACTAAACTAAAGAGATTTTTGTTTTCTGTTTGTTTGTTTCGTGATAATGATATATGTCAACAACCAGCAGCAGCAGCAAAATGTTTTGAGCTCCTTAAACATCTAAGTTTTTCTGGATCGGTTTTTCAAAGATTCTTCTTATGGTGTAAAAAAAAGGTAAATTTTCTGTTTTGGGGGGGGGGAATTGCTTCAATATATATTGTGGGTGTTTTCATCTTAGAAAATTTGATGTGACGATCGTCGAAGACGATGACAACTTTGACCACCACTGCTACCACTGTTTCTGCAAGTTTTCTTTGATTCGATGATAATGATGATGGTAGAGTTGCTAGTTGCAATAGCCGACGATGTTGCTGCTGATGATGATTTACCAGCAACAAGATTTTTGAATTGAGGTTTTCTAAATCTTGATTTTTTGGAAATGTCAATTTTCCTTGTTGTTTTTTTCAATTTCTTTTGATTCATCATATGGTTTGTTTGTTTGTTGTTGTTGTTGCTCATTGATTAACAACAACAACAACAACAAAAAACAGAAGAAAAAAAAATTCATAAACAACGTCATTGCATCATCAAGTGTAATATCATCAGTGTTTTTTGGAATGATCATCGAATGATATCGATATTTGATTGATTGATTTTTTTTCAAAAAATCAAAACACGAGCTTTATGTTTTGGTTGGTTGGTTGGTTGCTTGTTGCAGTGCAACTTTCGTTTTTCTCTCTCAAAAAAAAAAAATCTGCAATTTTTTTTTTTTTTTTTTTATACGATGTGAGAGTGAAATGAGCTTTACGTTGTTGTTGTTGTTGTTGTTGTTGTTGTTGTGTATCGAGCAATATCATCATCTTCAACGACATCGAAACAAAGAAAAAAAAATTGAAATGAAAAACAACCTTTTAATTTTTTTTTTTGTGTAATTTTCTCAGGTAAATTTTTTTTTTGTTTTTGAAAATAACCAGCCAGCCAGCCAGCCAGCCAAGAAAGTTCAGCCTAATTCATCCATCAATCGATTTTCGGGTTAGTTTCGAAAATGTTTTTTTTTTCTTTACACTTAAAAACTTGGAAACTTTTAAACTCTGTAGAAAAAAAGGCTTTTTTTCGTCCGTTTTTTCGGGTAAATGATCGAAAAGCCAAGTGAAAACCGGTTATTTTCAAACTATTTTGACACATTCATCATCATTTTTTTGTTTGTTTGTCCCGAGAAAATGTGTGTGTTTCTTTTCTATATTTACAGCAATATGATGTCATCATCTTCTGGTTTTGCATAAGAGAGAGAGAGAGTTTACCGAACGATCGGCATTTTAATCCAGTTTTTCTTTTTAAAACTTGTTTCGTTTCGCTGTTGTTTGTTTGTTTGTTTGTTGGGAAATTCCATATGATTATCATTGAAAATTTTTTCGGTTGTTTTGTTTTTTGTCTAATTTTTACTTTTTTTTCTTCAATCTACAGAATCTACAACGCACAAGCCAACTTTTGAAAAAATAACCCTTTTTTTTGATCATCAAGCGATTCAATTCCAAAAAAAAACTTTAGACTTTCAAGTGGTAAGTCATTTTTGTTTTGCGAAACAAAAAATAAAATTTTCTTTTTGTTTTCTCGGATTTAAAGCACACAAAATTCTGATCAAACAACGACAAATCTCGACAATAATCATCGATCGATCGATCAATCAATCAATCAATCAACGTAAAATTTTTATTGATTTTTAATTGAAATTTTGTTGTTTTTTTCAAAAAAAAAACAAAAACAAAAACAACGAGAAAAATCATCTGTTGCGCTGCTCATCACCATTATATAATTCGAATCATTAAAAACAATCGATTAAAGAATATTTTGTTTTATCGATTGAACAAAAAAAAACAATCGATTGTTCATTCGTATTCGAATCAATCGAAACGTTCGATCGAATGAAATGAAAAAACAAACAACAAACAAACGAATGTCATTAAAATCAAATTATCATCGTTAAATTAATTTTAAATTACAAAAATATTTTTGTGTGCATGTTTATGGTGGTGGTGGTGGTGATTATCGTTATCTTTTTTTTGTTGATTTTTATAACCCAAAAAAACATTGAAAAACAACAACGAGATGATTTGAGTTGAGTCAAAAATTGCCCGTATTTACCTGAATTTTATCTTGGATTTTCGAATCGAAAAAAAAAATCATCGACCATGATGTAAATACCTTTCAACAACAGCAACAACAACAAAAATGTGATAAAAAAATCAACAAAGAGATTTTTTGGAAGGGGGGTTAAACTAATCAAACACATCAAAATCAACGAAAAGATAATCATCATTATCAACGACATTTTAATTAATCAAACAAAAATTTTTTTTTCTTGTTCTTCAATTTGGAAATGCTGCAATAACATCATCCATAATCAAAGGAAAAAAAAAAGATTTTTCTACTTTGTTTTGCCTTTCAATTTGTTCATTCTAATTAAACGCAATATATAAAAAAAATTCTACCCTTCTTCTTCATCGCTCGCTCACCTTTAAATTTCCAACGAAAAAATGCCTCATACTTCGGTAAGTTTGACTTTTTTTTCCCCCCATTTCGTGACTTTCTGCGAATCAAGAGAATTTCTTTCTTTCTTTCGAATCGAAAAAAAAATCGATAACCTTGATAATTAATTAAGTTTTGTTCAACAGAATTTCTTCGCTTTTCACATTAATAAAGATATTTTGGACAGAGAATTTTTTTTTCCCATAGAATTTCCATTGAATCAAAAAAGAATTTTGTAGAATCAGGTTTTTCGTAAGAAACAGAACAAATTTCTTCTTCTTTTTTTAATTACGTCATTATTGCGTAATAGTTTTTGTTGTTGGCTAATTTTGTTTCAATGTCTGTTTGTTTTTTTTGTTTTTGTTTTTTGGAAACAAAATTACCAATCGATCAATCAAATTTTTCAATTTGTTTGTTTACTTTTACTTTTAATTTGGGTTTTTTTCTGCCTGTCTGTTTGTTTGACAAACTTTTTCTGCTTGGTCATCGATCTATTGATTGATTGATTTGTTTTTGTTTTTGTTTTTTTCACTGAAATAATATTTACTGATTTTCCATTTTTTTTCGATAGCAAAACGTTGAAATACAATTAGAAATTGGCCATATTGCCACACCAAGACTGAAGCCAACCGTTGATGGTCATACACATGATTGGTAAGTGGAAAAATCGATTGATTGTTGATTGATTGATTGATTGATTTTTTTTTGAAATTACAGGACGGTATTTGTTCGAGGTTTTGATAATTGTCATATCAATACATTTGTTGAAAAAGTTATATTCCATTTACATGATAGTTTTCCAAAACCAAAAAGAGGTTTGTCAAACAAAAAAAAAATTCAATTTCAATTTTTCAATTTTTTTTTTTAATTTTTTTTCTTAGTGATCAAAGAACCACCATATGAAATAAAAGAATCTGGTTATGCATCATTTGAATTACCGATTGATGTTTATTTTCGTAATAAAGAAGAACCGAAAAAAATTTGTTTCGATTATGATCTTTATATTGAATTAGCTAAACCGGTTACAAATATTCGTCGTGAACGTTTAACATTTCAAAATCCATCAAATGAATTTCGTAAAAAATTATTAAAAAGTTGTGCGGTAAGTATTTCTTTCAATGTTTTTTGTTTTATTATTTCCAAATTCATTTTCGATTCAGTGATAACATTTTTCTGTACCAAAAATTGATAAGGAAAATTCTGAAAATGAGAAAAGAATGACGCATTTCATCAATGTTGCGATTTAAATTGATTATATATTCAAAATATCGCAACAATGTTGATGACGACAATTACTTTTTCTTTTCTTTTCTTTTTTGACAAAAACTTTGCTAAAAATACATTTTGTCTATATTTGTTTGTGGTTAAGTAAAAAAAAAGTGAGAACAAAACACTGAAAAATTCCACATCATCAATGTTTTTTTTTCGTTGTTGTTTCGTTTTGAAATGTCTCTCTCTCTCGCTCTATATAAATGTATTTTTTTTTTCGGCGACTACCCGGTGGTTGCTGATGGCGTCATTGATTGAATTATTATTATTATTGACGCCTGCTTACCGAATGATAAAGGATTTTTATTGTAATTTTTGTTGTTTTATCTTTTTTATTACTATATATTGGACCCCGGTTATTATTTTTGAAAATTATTATTATTATTTTCATAATCAATGATAATAATGCCATCTAATTCTTATTTTTTGTTCTGTTCCATGAGGATAGATGGCGTATCTAGTTCTATTTCTTATTTTTTGAAAAAAAAATTTCCATATTTATGAATTTATGAATATTTGCATCTTTCAAAACAACAACAAAAAACACATTATTCATTCATTCAATAATCAAGATGAATATTTAATATATTAGGATAGCATTCATTCATTTGATTATGTCCTTGTTTTGTTAATCTTTTGTTCATTCAAAACATGTTTTTGTTCCAAAAATGATCGAAAACAAAATGAATATTAAACTTTCATGATCAATAAAGGCCTAATGATTTATCATTCGATCGATTGGATTGAATCGATCGATTATGGTCTTAATAAACAAGCAAACAAACAAAAATCCTGTCAATGAAATTCCAAGGATTTTCATTTCGCATTTTGTTCATTTTGCACATTTGCAAAACAAAAATTCATTTCGATTTCGATTTTTTCCATTGTCTATTATCATTCACATAAACAGACAAACAAAACATTACAGACAGACTGGCAGAGATTATAACCAGGCAGGCTGGCTGGCAGGCAATCAAATCTGACCTAGATTAGTAAAAATGTATAATTTTCATTTTTGTATTTTCGATTTTGAAAAAAACAAAATTGATTGAACAATCGACCTATGTTCAGAAATTGATCACTTGTTTGCTTGAGAAATGTTTTTTTTTGACCAAATTTGGAAAAAAAATGTTTTCACAAACAGTTTTTTCTACCCCCTTGTTTTTTTTGAACGAAGAAAATTCAATCAAGGCTAAAATGAATTTAGAGCTGATGTTTTTTCATTTGAAATTTTCTTTTCGTTGTTGTTGTTTTTGCCAAGTGATAATCCTCACATCAATTAGATATTTGACATTGAAAATGTTTTTCTTGCAAAAAAATCTGATTAAAAATGATGATGTTTATTTGGTTTTGTTTGTCAGCCAATATTGTTGTTGTTGGCTTGTTTGTTTGTTTGTTTGTTTGTTCCTAGCACACTGCTGATGGATTAAATTAGATTAGAATTTTAATCTCTCTTTTTTTGCTGATGAGATTAATTTGTTGTTGTTGTTGTTTTTCTGCGAAACAATTTTGTTGTTTCCTATAATCGATTGTATCGATTGATTTTCGAATCAAATTTTGCATTTTGTAATTAAATTTTTACAATTTTTTTACTTTTACTTTTACTCACGCTATAAAAATTGTTATTTTTTCAATTTATAAACGAAAGAAAAGAGAGTTTTTATCGCCTGTCAAAATATTTATGAATAATAATTGTATGGAAACAATGAATGATGATGGTGATCAATCTGAACCACAACAAAAACATTCATTGAATAATAATAATTGTTTTCGAATTCGTGTACCAAATTTAAAACGATTACGTAATCCTTATCTTAATCCTAATCATAATCATCATAATCATAATAATAATGATAAAGATTATGATGTGACAATGATGATGACTAGAATGATGATGATGGAAACAACAACAACAACAACAAATCAACAATTGACATTTCAATCCTTGGGCAATCATAATCATAATTTTGATGTTGATGATAACATTGATGCAAAGATATTAATTTTATCCAAAAATAATAATATGACCATGTCTAATAATGATAATAATGATAATGATGATGAAAAAAGAATAACAAGAAGGTCAGTTGGATATTTTTCCATTTATCATTTTGTTTTCTCTGTGTGTGTGTCTGTTTTAACATTGAGATATTATCTTTATGTTTGACTATTTTGATCCATGTTGGCTGACTTGATGATGATTGACATTTTTTTTTTTGATTTGACTAAACATTAGATAATCATATCATCTTTGATAAAATCTTTGTTTTGACCATTTGACATCATCATCATCATTATCGATTTCTGTAAACAAAAAAGTGAAATTTGATTCGTTTTTCGTAAAAAAAACAAACAAGAACGAAAGAAAGAAAATTAAGTAAACATATCTTCTCTCTTTCACAATTTTCTTTAATATCGATGATGACTTCTTTGCCTCCTTTGTACGTACTGCCTGCCAACCAACCAAGATGATGTTGATGATAACGGACAAAGCAAAAACAAAAAAAAATGTTATTAACCTCGATCTTCTTCCTTGAAAAATTTTTGTTTTTTTCGTATTGATTTTTTTTCATTGGAAAAACATTACAAATGGTGCCACACACACGCCATGCAGGCAATTTTCAAAATACGGGCTAATGACATACGCTGACTGCTGATAATGATGATGATGATGATGATGGCCATCGGTTATTATCTCACTGTTGATTTTTGAATTTTGTTTTGTTTTTTTTTTCGTTTGTTTTAATTGTTGATGGAAAAAAAACAAAATTTTTGGAGAAAGAGAGTGATTGGAGTGACGAAGGGTTAGGTTAGCTGTTTACTGAGAGTTTGTTTTTTTTCAAAATAAAAACAAGAAATTTCCGCATTCTCTTTTCAAAAAATGATTTATCGGGAAATTTCTCTTTTTCTGAGAAAAATTTTTCCCCTTCTCGTCTGTTTAATTGACCGGGTTTTTTTTCGTCTGTTTGAAAATGTTTTGATAAAATTTATTTTTAGTTCCGGGGTTTTTCCTTTTTTTTCAAAAATTCAATTTGACCGCGAAAAATTCTGCACAAAGAAAAAAAATTTAAATTTTTGTAAATTTTCTTCTTCGATGACTCGACAAATTCAAAAATCGATTTGATTTTTTTTTCATTAACCCACCAGCATCACAAAAAAAGGCAGTAGCATTTTGTTTTCACTCAGAAAAGCAAAACCACTGATTGACTTTTCAGTGCAATATTTTCATTTCTTTTGTCTTCATTTTTAACACTTTGAAAGTTTAAAAAAATTAATTTAATTTTTCTTCTTTTCTTGTTTTTCGTTTTTGGGTAATGATAATAACAGATACTTAAACCAGGGGGAAGTGATCAAACAACAACGACGACGACTACGACGACAGCAATATTTGAATCAAATCAACAACAACAACAACAATCACCAAATAGCAATTTTCAATCCGCATCATCATTATTATCGACAAATTCCAAAACGACAAACGGTAAGTTTATTTTTTTTAAAGGATGTTTTTTTTTTTGGAAAACATTGGTCTGATGTACCTTGGAGATAAACGTTTTTTGGGTTAATTTTTTTTTTTGCTTGTCAGGGTTTGAGGGAACAAAAACAACATCAGGTACAGGTGTGTTTTACCTAATGATAATTAGAATATATATGACATTGATGAGTGACGTTTAATAAGTGTTTTTTTATGGTTTTTGTTTTGATGATGATGATAAATAAATGACGTTTTAGAAAGAGAGTAATCAGGTTGACATCTGAAAAATGTTTGGTCAGGTGATTGATTGATTGATGAGTTTTTGCATGATTTTTTTCTGTTTGTTTCATTGAAAAATTTATCCAGAATTCTTCCAAAAATCTAATGGTATTTTTTTTCTTTGTTTTTGATTTCTCGAATTTTCTCCTTTCGTTCGAATAACTACAATCGATACTATTCATCGATACTATCATCTATTTTTTTCCTGTGATTTTTGTGTGATTTTTGAAGAATTATTTCTATCATCATCATCACCATTGACAGCAACATCGACAACATTATTGAATAACGATAAAAATTCATCATCATCATCATTAATATCATCGAATACGGCGCCAATCAATAATTCACATCATGGTTCGACGACGACATCGTCGAATAATAAATTTAATAAAACAATCCTTACAAATACTAATTTGTTACAACCTGATAGTCAATTTACGGATTTATTCGGTACACCATTAATACATCAAACAGCAGCATCAGGTGTATCATCATTATCATCATCAACTGTAACATCAATAACAACATCATCAACATCATCATCATCATCAACTCGTCGAAAAATATCCAAATTGAATAATGTAAGTTTTTTCGTTTTGTTCTCTATTGGTTTTTTTATTGGTTCAAGGTTAAATGGATTAATCCTAATTTTGATTAAGAAGAGAGATATAAGGAGGAGAGAGAAAAGGGTTGATTAAGGTTAATCAAGGGTTAACTGCAGTAAACCATGGTTTTCCATTTCCAATGTTGTTTGATTTGTGGTTTTATTGATTTTTTTTTCAATTTTAAAATTTATTTTTTTTCATTCATTGTTGTTGTTGGGGCTGCAAACAACAAACAAACAACAACAACAAATATGATGTTTGGCCGTACTTGGCACTTTTCATCATCGTCATCATTATCAATTGTAAAACGCACATAACCTGTATACAAGAGTGATTGAATGATGATGATGATGATGGAAATATATTTTGCAATCCTGGAACAACGTTACCTTGTTACACGCGTCATGATTTTTTTTTAATTTTCAGATGAAAAAAAAAGAAACTTGATGATGATGATGGTGATGGTGGTGTATCCTTTCCCCACTCCACCACTTCATTTCGTTTATTGAATGAAAAAAAAAATCCATCCATGATGATGATGATGATGGAGATTCAAGTTTTTGAAATTTCCCTTTTTTTTAATAGAAATTTTCATAAAAAATCCATCATCCAAAAAATTATACAACAGGTTTTTTCTTATTGATTTGATTTGGTGGGTAGTGAGTGAATGAGTGGTTAAATCAAGTTCAAGTTTTATCATAAGTGAAAGGGGAAAAATTGAAAAATTCAGAGTATGTTTTTCACTATATATCTTGTTTTGCATTCAAAAAATTGATTTTATTTTTTGAAAAAAAAGTTTCGTTGAAATTTCATTTGAATGCCAGCGGCGCCATATTACAAAAATTATTATCATCATTTCAGAACAGAAAGAGTTTGTTTGGATCTTTGGATTTTGAAAACCTGAAAAAATGAAAGAGAAAAAAACGAGAGTGATAAGGAGAGGAGAAAGAGAAACCAAGAGATAAAAAAAATTACGAAAGAAAATTATGGAAAGTGTTTGCTTCGATGAATGGAGGTGAAAATATAAAGAGATAATGAGAGAAAGTAAAAACTTTATCAGAAAACATTGACAAAATGGATGGATCCTATATATCTTTTCTTGGAAAAAACAAAATACTTAAAGTGCTTATGCGTGCTGCTACTCATTTTTTTTGTTGTTGTTGTTGTTTCTAAGATGCTTCAAGGGGGATGCTTAATGCCAGGCAAAAAAAAACAAAAACTAAACTAGATTTTCCATTAAGTCTTTACACTTTCTCTCTCTTTTGAATCATTATCATTATTAACACAGCATCACCAACAACAGCAGCAGCAGCATTATCATCCATCCATCAAGTGTTCCAAATCAGCTTTTTTTTTAAAAAAAAAATATAGCTGTAGTGTGTCTCTTTGTGTGTTTGCTTGTGTCATTATTATTTTTTTTTTCAATCACACACATAACAGACACCAAACACATCACATCACATCACACACATTAAACACACATATTCAATACATATCCAATTTATATCCATCATCATCATCATCATCAGAAAAGAAATGAAAATTTATATATAGTTGTTGTTGGTCGCAAGTGATTGATTGATTGATTGATTGATAGAGAGAAAGAGATTAATCGATGTCACACACAAATATTGAGCAAATCGATACGATCCGATCATTTAAATCAACTGGTGGTGGTGATGGTGAATGGTGAACGGTGGTGGTGGCTTCAAGAAGATAAAAACACCAGATGAATACCCAAAAAACAAATTTGACTGATGTTTTTGTTTGTGATTTACTGTGACTGGTTTATGTGTGCAACAATTGTTTTTTATTTTTCTGGGTGAATCTCTAACTATAAACTTTCAGATCTCAATCATTTGATGTGTGTTTTGTGTTTTGAATAATAGAAAAATTTTTTTTGTCCAAATTTCAGAAGAAAAAAAAACCTAGTCGCAAATTTAAAACGCAGACATCACGTATCACACGCATACACACTGACAATATATTTTGCTTCTCACCAAACAACAACAATCGATGTCGTTGTCGTCGCATCTTGATTTCCGTTTGTGATTTCCGGTTTTTATTTCTTCGTTGTCAGTGTCTGTGTGTGTAATATCCAAAAATCTTGTTTGTTCGTTTTGAAATTACAAAATTTTTAATTTAATTTTTTTTACGTCTGAATTGATAATTGGGAAAAAAAGAAAGAAAACACGTTTTCGAGAGAGCTCATCATCGACGTCGAAGTTGTCGTTTTTCAGCATATTTCACACACATAACCCCGGTTACATATCGATCATTTTTGTTTTGAAAAATTTTGCAAAACATCAAGAAAAATTGAATGAATTTGACGACGATTTTTCAAAAAAAATCGTCATTGTAAATGTTTGTTTCAAAACAATCAACCGAATATCGTCGTCATCATCATCATCATCATCATCAATCACCAAATCTGCCTCCACCGCCACCACCACCAAAATCCATACCATCATCATCATCATCGACAACATCACTTCCGATTAAATTATCAACGAAAAATGTGCTGCTACCATCATCATTATTATCATCATCATCAGTGTCATCATCATCGCCATTATCGAATCAAATCCGACAACAACAACAACAATTAAATTCAAATCAACAACAACAACAAAAGTTTAAATCCGGTTTTGCATCAACATTTTTACCCGCATCATCATCAAATAATGGAATTCGATCAGGAATTTTATCCCAAGGACTACCACCAGAAGAACAAAATGGTTTTGGAAAATTTCCTAAAGGATTTAGGATACCAAGAAATAATGAAAAAAAATCGACGATCGGTGAAACCAATGATGATGGCCAATTACAATTACAAAAAATTATGCCCATATCATTTGTACAGAATAATCGACAACAACAGCAACAACTACAACGATCAAAATTATTATCCACAGCATCTGATTTATCACAAAAACCATCATTATCGTTACGTGGACATTTTGAATTTGATAATGATGATGATGATGATGATGATGATTTTGTCATCAATAATAAATATCAACAACAACAACAACAATCGAAAAAGAATAATAATAATGAGGATATTATGAAAATGATTATGAAATCTCATCAACAACAACAACAAAGATTTTCAACAACAACAACAACAAATTTACAACAACAAAAACAATGTTTATCAATAAAAAATTTGGCACATAAAAATCAACAACAACAACCAAATCATCATCATTATCAAATCAATGTACGAAAAGATGTATACACACACAAACACACACACCTTTGCCCTTTTCCTCATTTTATATCGATGTTGTTTTTTCATTTTTCATTTTTTTTGTTGAAAAACAGAAAAAACAAATTGGAAATGAAACGGAAATTTTCATCATGATAATGATGATGATTACAGCATTGAGGTTTTTTGTTTGTTGATTTTTAATGTGTGTGTGATGTGTATATGTGTTTTCAGTGTGTGTGTGTGTGTGACAGGATGGATATGATAAACAAAATTTTTTGGGCAATTCGAGAAAAGTTTTATAAATTTCACAGTTTTTTTTCTATTAGATTACCATATTGACAAATGAATGAATGTTTTTTTGGGGGGGGTTTTGTTTGGCTGGCTGTGATGATCATATTGAGTGTTGAATGAATGATTGATTGATGTTTATGTGAATTTTTTGATTTGATTTGATTGTCTGATTTTCTTTTGGTGCAATATGAAAATATTTAGGAGGTGAAAACGAAAAGATTTCACAATAATTAACACTCAATTCGCAATCAATCTTTTTTTCTCTTTTTTTTTGTGTTAATTTTAATCGTTTTTTTTTTCTTTCATTTATTTTTCCTTTTCCATATCGAAAAATCATCACCTGGTCGTCCATTTTAGAATCATAATGATTCACATAGGAAAAATAACAGCAGTGGTGGTGGTGTTGGTGGTGCTTCAACGACTGTGATAGTAGGAGGAGGTGGTGGTGGTGGCATTATCGGTGCAAATTCATTATCGAAAACAATTAAATCAACAACAAATCATAAGAATCATGATTATCATCATCAAAGGCAATCATTGTTGGCAAAAGGATCGACAAACAACAACAACAACAGCAATTTGTTGAGTAATAATCCAAATATGGCGCAAACAGCATCGATAAATTATCGAAATAATCAATCGATAATCAATAAATCATCTTCAAAATTATCATCAATAAATAATCAACGACCATCATCATCATCATCGAGTAAATCAAATAAATCCAATTCAATTTCGATAAAAATTGAAAACGATAATGATGATGACAACAACAACAACAACAGCAACGATGATTATGGTGGTCACAAGGATCAGGATGATAAAATTTTGATGAAAAAAATGTTAATGAAAAATAGAATTTTGATGAAAGAAGAAATAATGTTGAAAGAAATGGAGAAGAAAAAATTGTTGTTGAAAAAAGAACAAACATCATCGTTGGAAAATGATGATAATCGTAAGAAACAAAAACGTAAAAATTCAAAAGAACGTAATATGGATGAAAAGTTGAAAAAGGATGATAAAAAATTTAAAAATTCTGCCGCATTATCCACCACTGAATCATCCGCATCATTGACAAAATCGTTGATGAAAAAAAATAAACGTAAAAAATATGATGAATTTGATAATGATCATGTGGATAATGATGATGAAATTCACATGTCAACAGCAGCAGTAAAACAACATGGTAAAATGAAAAAACATCATGATATTGATGATAATTCTGCAATAAAATCTTCATCAACAAAAATGAAAAAAAGACGTCGTCATGATGAATCTTTGATGAGTAATTCCCCATCTGCATCAAAATCACCATCATTTTCAACGGGATCAATGAAAAAAGATTCATCATTATCATCATCTAAATTGGCCAACAATCAGACAATAACAACCAAAAATGGTTCGACAAAATCATCAAAATATTTGATTGATGGTGATTTGGATGATAATAAACCATATTTTCCATCATTAATTTTAAATCAACAACAACAACAACAGCCAAAATATTCACCATATCGAACATCATCATCATTGTCGAGTCCAAATCAACAACAACAACCGAACATGATCTCAACGTCATTGAATAAAAACAATGATAATAATCAATCAAACAAGTCTTCAATGATGGATGATTCAACGACGAATACGACCAGTAACAATACAACAACAACAAGCAATGTTAAAAAAGAAAATATGACAAAAAAATCATCGAAAACATCCAAAATGGACATGTTAATGAATCAAAAAAGTGGAGGTATGGAAACTAGTCATTTAATGTCAACAAAAATAAAATATCGTGATGATAATAGTGTAACAACGATTGAAATAAAATCAATAAATAAGGAAAAAACATGGGATAATATGAATGAAATTAAAAAACATAAAACAACTAAAGAATCATCATCGTCATCGAAATCATTATCATCGACGTCGTCGTCGTCTTCAACGTCCACGACAGCGACTGTACAACAGCCGCAAACAAATTCTTCTTCGAAACCATCATCAAATTCAAAGAATGGTAATAATCAGGCTTCAGCAACGTCGTCAGGATTATCTTCATCAACATCGAATATGAAAGAATCATCAAAATTATCATTATCAAATTCATCATTATCATCGATTGCATCGAATATTTCTTGTGGTGGTAATGGTCGTAAAAAATCATCGAAAACATCATCCAAACAACAACCGCAACAAACAACAGATTGTGAAAAGAAAATGAAAAAATTATCATCGAAAACATCATTTGATAAACAACAAAATTGTATTAATGAAAAATTGAATGATAGTATTGGATCATCATTATCGTTATCAAAACGTAAACAACGACTATATGATGATGATGAATTATTAATGGATGAAAAAATGCCACCACCACCATTATCATCATCATCATTAACAACAACAACAGCGAAACCAACATCGATGATATTGAATAATAATCGAGATGATCATTTATTTAGTGATCCAAAATCCAAACATCATAATCGTCATCATCATCATCATCATCATAAGAAAAATGATAAAATAAATGATGATTATGATAATCGAATACCATCATCATTATCATCATCATCTTCGTCGATTGATTCGGCCATCAGTGATAGTGATGTTTCATCATCATCATCATCATCATCATCGGATTCAGATTCCGATTCAATGGATTCATCTGATTTGGATAATAATGTTCGACAACAATCATCCGATGAAATTGATTCTGATGATGATGATGATAATTTAATTTCGGGTAAAAAATCATCAAAAAATACTAAAAAATCAACGAAAAAACATGAAGAAATTATGAAAAAAATGAGAAAGAAACATCATCAACAAAAACATAGCCATCGACATGAACATGAATCAAAAGCATCAATAAAAATGGCTAAAGAAATGAAATTATCGAAATCAAATGTTGGTGGTGATAATGATGATTCAATGGGAAAAAATCAATCAAAATTTCGAGCATCGGAAAAATATTCCAATAAAATTCATGATAATGATTCATCATCAACGACGACCAAAACGACCAAGAAGAGTAAAAAAGTAAAATCAACAAAAATGAAAAAATCTGGTTCTTCATCCGAAGATGATGATGATGATGTGAATGTTGAACAACAACAGCGAAAACAGAAAAAGCATCGTTATCGAAATGATAATCATCATCATAGTGATAATTCTAGTGCCAATGATTCTAGTGATGATGATGATGATAATGAACAAAGTGATAAAGATTGTAAAAAATCTTCAAAAACATCGATGACCAAATCATCATCATCGAAGATAAAAGATTTGAAAAATAAAAAAAATGGTCATAAAGATAAGAAACCATCGTCGACGAAGACGATAAAAACTAAAACGAAAACATCGTCTTCTTCCTCGTTGAATAAAGAATCGAAAAAGAATAAAAATTTAATGAAAAATAACAAGTATTCATCAGAAACAGCAGCCAAAAACAAAACCAAAACAACAAAAAGTGTTGGTCTTTCGGATTCGGATGAATCCGATGATGATGACGGTGATATCACGGTTAAATCGAAAAAACGACATGCTTCTTCATCTTCCGATGATGATGATAATGATGGATCATCATCAGAATCTTTATCACAAAATTCTTCTGATTCTTCTTCATCCGATAATGATGATAATAATGATAATGATGTTGTACTAAATAATCATCGATATGATAATGAAACAATACCATCATCAAACAAATTAAATATCCAAAATCATATTGATTATCATCATCATCAGAATAATTATTATGATGGTAGTAGTCCAATGGTTATTGTTTCACCTGCAACAAGTAGTAATAATTCATTATCACAACAAAATACACCAACATCAAAATATAATAATAATAATAATAATTTTTATCATCAATCTTATCAACAACAACAACAACAATCATCGATGATGATGATGGCAAAGTCTTTAGCAACAACAACAACTACTGGAATAACACCAGGATCATCAAATTCAAATTCACCAATTAATCATCAATATTATTATCATCATCAACAACAACAGCAACGTATAATGACTTGTTATGATCGTGCTGCTGTATCATTATCACCGGTAGCTGCCACTATTCAACAACAACAACAATCATCATCATCAACAATGATGATAACAAATTTTTCAATGGTTGAATTACAAGAAATTCAAACAAAAATCTATTCAATACAGGATCCCTATGTATTACAAAGAATTGTTGATCTAATTGATGAACGTAATCATCGTTGTTTAAATATTGTTAATAATTGTCTACAATTTGATCTAATGCGTTTAGATAATGGTACATTGGCCGAATTACGTCGTTTAATATGAAAAAATTTTCATTATTTTTTTCTGTCAAAAAAAATTGATTTGGTTGAATGGGGTGATATAAACAAAACAAAAATTTTCAATGAATAATATATGATTCCACAGTTGTGCCAATTCTTAATGTATTTTTCATTTTTTTCTCATGTTTTTTTTGCTTGCTTGTTTATTGATGTTTTTCTCCTGTCTATAGAGAGGTTGCAATCTGAAAAAAACACAAAAAAAAATCGATATTTTTTCATCTCATTTTTTTGGCCGTTGTTTTTAACTCTTTTTTTCTTCTCAACAAAAAAAAAATTCTGTGAAATTATTATGTAATATTTTTTTCTTCAAAAAAATTGATTGATTTTTTTTTGCGTGGTTGGTGGATGTGTATTATTTTTGTGGCAACATGGTTTATGTGTGTGTGTGTGTGTGTGGTTAAGGGTTAATTTTTGTATTTTTCTTTTTTTTCTCTCCTTTCGCCCACCTTTCTTTCTCATCACCTGTTGAAAGAGCACACACCTATTGAATCAGATTTTAATTTCACCCACCTGCTTGATTGTTTTTTTTTGATTACCGGAAAATTTCCAGTAAAACAAAGAATATTTTCTTCTTTTGTTGTCCTACAAATTATTGAATTACCAAATTATTTTCTGATCTAAAACTTTTTCTTTTCTTTTCTTTTCATTCATAAATTGTTTTTTTCAAAATATTGTCTGTGATTAGTGTGCGCGTGCGCGTATCATCATCGTTTAAATTTTTGCTGTAATAAATCAATTTCAATGAATATGAATGATGTGAATTTTTTTTTTTTTGTTTGCCAAGAGCCAGCCGCCATAACCGAATCAATTTTGATTTCGATGAAAATTTTTCTTTCAAAAAAAAAAAAATATTTTTTTCATTTCATTTATCGTCGCCATTGTCTTTTGTCACATGTTATCAGAATTATTATTATTTTCACTTGATTATTATTATTATTATATATTTTTTTTAATAATTTATTAATTAATTTTGTCAACAACAAAAAAAAATGTCCCTCACAAAATGTATTTATATAAAAATCTTATATATTTTTTTTTTAATAATAAAAAATGAATTATTTTCTCTAAGGTTTTCAACATTGATTGAAATTGTGTTATCGAATTGTAACGATTTGATTTGAAATTTTTTTTGTAGTGTAAATGGAATTTACAAATTTTTTTTGTCATCAACTAAATACATACATAACCTTGATCAGTAATGATAATGATGATGGACAGTAATGGATTAAAAATTGACGATGACGACGACGATGTTGTTGATAATGATCGATAATTTATTTCATCACCATCATCATTAAACAACAAATTTGGAGTTTCAACAACAACAACATTCTGTATTTGATGATGGTAAATTGAAAAGAAAAAAAATCGATCGGAGAAAAAATTTGTTCATTTGATCCATTTGATATAAATCATTTTCAAAAGAAAAAAAGTTATACTTTTTTCTTCTTTTTTACCATCAAACAAAGTTAAAATGAAAGCGAAAACAGAGAAAGAGAAAAGCGAAAAAAACCCATTGAAAACTTGATTTTTTGTTCATCACGAATGAATGATGTTGTTGTTGTTGATGATAAAAAAGAAAATTTCTTGTTTTTCAGCTTTTTTAGCTTGCTTGTTCACTTAGTTAGTTGATTGTTTGTAATAACAAGGATCTCATTTTTTTTTGACCGAATAAACCATTTTTAATCGTTTTCAACATTTTCATTTTATAATGGTATTGATTTGATTTGATTTTCAATGAATTTATTATTTTTGATTTTGATTACAATCTTTTTTTTTCTTTAGCAAGCACAAACACAAACACGCGTAAATGCATTTTTAATTCAATTCAAAATTATTAATGGATTGATTATCAATGTCGAATGTTCTTGATTTATAATTCTTCTTTTCGAACGATGAAAAACAAAAACAAAGCAAGAAAAAACACTTATGCATAGAGGGAATTGATTGATTCAATTGAATCAAATTGGCAACGATAATGGTGGATTGGAAATTATCATTTTTTCAAAGTTTTTTTTTACTTTTTCTTCGATGAAACATTGTGGTGGAAAGACTTTTGTGTTTCATGGACATTGTTGTTTTGAATCGAGAAAAGCAAAAACATTCGAACGTTTTGTTAATGTTCGAATCTATTACGTTCGAAATGGACTGTGGTGGAAATAGTTTCTTTTTTTTTGCAAATGATAAAATCTTTGTTTATAAATCAAGGATGACAGATTAAAAATTTTTTTGTTTACAATTGATATAATTTCTAATGTAATTAATTAATTGATTAGTTAATTAATTGAATAATTTGTAAATAAAGTTAAATTGATTATTTTTTTCTAGGAATTATTATAACGATGATGATGATGAATGTTTGTTGATAAAATTTTTCAATGATTCACGAACAATATTTTCTGTAGCACCCGTTTCATGATCAACAAGTATAGCATCAACACCTAACGAATTGATATCGATTATATTACGTTGTTCATCATCGAAAAATATCATTTCATTAAAATCGATACCCGATTCTTCACGAATTCGTTCAAAATGTTTAATTTTTTTACCCGGATATATTTGATAATAATCAATATATTTTTGCCAATCAAATAATTCAATTAAACGATATGCACCGGTAGGATATTTTGTTCGTGATGCAACAGCAATTTTTATATCATTTTTTCGTAATAATTCATAGATTTTTGGAAAATCAGAAAAATGTTGGATTTCTTTCCCATGAACATCGATTAATTTTCCTTCATAATAGAAATAAGGTGGAATATATGGAAATCCATCAATACCAAATGGCCAAACAGTATGATCTAAATCGAATATAGCTAAACGTGGTAATTTTTGTTTCAACAAATGATTATTATTATTATTAGCTACATTTTTGGCTACAGTACAAAACAATCGGTTCATTTCATAACTGGTGAAACAAAGAAATAGAAAACAAATTGATCAACAAATTTTTTTTTGAAACAAATTAAAACTTACCACAAAAATTTTATCGTTTTTTGGTTTCAACAACAACAAAAAAAAACAAGGATGACTTTTGGAAACTTTCCGGAAAACTCATCACAAAACATTCGAATGAAAGAAAGTAATTTCCTGGAAAGTAAACATGATTTTTGTCTTCGTAAAAAAAATGTAAACAAAGTTTTTTTTTCGTTTTTCATTTTATTTCGTTATTTTTTTTTTGTTTTTGTTGTTGTTGATATTTACGATGAATCGTAAATCAAATACAAATGCAATACAATCAAATAATCATAATACTAAAACTAATGTGATAATAAATTCTTCTAGTCTGAATTCATCAATGCCAAAAGTTGATGGTTATCAATTGAATCATCTGATTGGTAAAGGATCATATGGTCATGTTTTTCGTGCTGAAAAAAAGGTTTGATAAATTTTTAAAATAATTTGATGGTGATCATCATTCATTTTCTTTACTTTTCCTCTGTAGATTTCACATGAAATTGTTGCCATCAAATGTATACCACTAAAATCATTATCGAAAAATTCTCATGACAATATTATCAATGAAATATCCATATTAAAACAATTAAAACATGATTTCATTGTGCAGATGTTAGATTTTCAATGGGATAAAGCATTTGTTTATATGATATTTGAATTTTGTCCCGGTGGTGAATTAGCATCGATAATTCGTTTGAAACGAAGTTTTCCCGAAGAAATTGTTCAACATTTTCTTCAACAATTAGCCTCAGCAATGAAATATCTACGTGATAATAATGTTGCACATCTGGATCTTAAACCACAAAACATACTTATTACCGGTATACATTTTGTTCAATTGTTAAATGGTCTGAATTCATTTAAAGTTTGGCGTCAAGTAATACTCAAAATTGCTGATTTTGGTTTTTCACAACATTTAACCAATGATGAAAGTGTCGATTCATTACGTGGTTCACCATTATATATGGCACCAGAAATATTTAAACGACAAAAATATGATGCACGTGTTGATCTTTGGTCGATAGGTATTATCCTTTATGAATGTTTATTTGGTCGTACACCATTACATGGAATGTCAATGTCGGAAATTGCACAAGCATATCAACGAAATAAAGTGCATATTGAATTTCCTAAAAATAAATTATCCGAACTTTGTTATGATCTTCTTAATGGACTACTCAGGATTGATCCAGAAATGCGTATATCATTTGGAAATTTTTTCTCACATCCATTTATTGATCTTGAACATATGCCAATGGTGGATTCATTTAAAAAGGCAAAAAATATTATAGCCAAAGCAATTGATTTTGAAACTAAAAGCGAATATAAATCAGCTTTTTATAATTTTCGTGAAGCATTATTATATCTAATGCCTTTATATCGATGGGGTTTACCAACACAGCCGATTTCGGTGAAAAAACAAGAACAACTTCGAAAAATGATTGTTGAAAATATGGAAAAAGCAGAAAAATTACAACAAAAATGTGGTATTGTTAATATTGATACAAAATTATTACAAGAAATTCAATCAATTTATAATCATATTGATCGTGCACGTGATTTTGCATCAAAAAATCTATATTCCGAATCATTGGATAAATTTGAATTAGCTTTTGATAAATCATTAAAAATTATAAAAGAAAATGATTCAAAAATACGTAATGAATTTTTTGGTGAAATTAATGAATGGATGACCGAAGCTGAAACCGTAAAAGCAAAATATTTAGCCGAACAACAACAGCAAACATCATCGAAAGAAATTGCGAAAGAAGAAAAAATTTTTGTTGCACAAGAAGCAATTGAATTGTATCATAATGATACAAAATCATCAACAACAGATTCAAAACCAGATTGGTATCTAAAACTGAAAGAACCAGAAAAATCAAATTTATCTGGACATTCCAAATTATTGATACATAAAAAAGTTGATGATAGAAAATTAGATAAAACTAATGATGATAATGATAATGATAATGTTGTTGATAATGAGCCACTTTGTTTTGTTCAATGATTTTTGATCTTTAGTTTTTTTTTTAAATAAAATGTTTGATTGTAACTTTTTATTGTGATAAAATTTCAAAAATTTTTTTGTTCTATTTTAACAGCTTTGGTTGCTGTTGTCAACCGAGAAGAAAAAAGAGCACACGTTTTTGGAAATTTTGTACCAAAAAATTTTCAGTATTAAGTTTCATTTTTCTTAGTTTAGAGACATTCCGTGCATCAAAGAAAAACCAAAGTTTTAATAATGACCAAAAAAATTGCATTAGTAGCTGCTTGTTGTCGTTCGAATGGTATTGGTAAAGATGGTACATTACCATGGCGATTAAAATCTGAAATGGATTTTTTTACACGAATTACATCGACAGTTTTGGATTCCGCACCAGGTTTGTCTGGTGATGAACAAATCAAAAAGAATGCCGTTATTATGGGTGTACGAACATATATGTCTATTCCACCAAGATTTCGTCCATTAAAACATCGTGTTAATGTTGTACTTAGTAGAACAATCAATGAAGCACCGGCTGGTGTTGAATATTTATTTCGTAGTCTTGATGATGCTATTAAAACATTATCTGATATGTCTAATATTGATCAATTATATATAATTGGTGGTTCAGAAGTATATCAAGAATCTATTGCACATCCAGCATGTGATTTAATTTTCCTTACAAAAATTGATGCCGATTTTGATTGTGATCGTTTTTTTCCATCGATTGATCCAAATCAATATGAAGATATAACTGATGAAAAATTATTACCAAAATATCAAAATTTAATTGATCAATATAGCATTCCATTAGATGTTCAAACCGAAAATGGTCTTTCATTCCGTTATCATTTATACAAACGTAAATAACATTCTTCCGATCAATTTTGTTTTCATCCCCCCAGCAAAAAAAATTATTCATTTTATTAAACAAAAAAAAATTATTTTTAATGAATAAAATTTCTTTTTTTCTTTCTTAATAAAAATAATTAAACTTGAATTGTGCGTATAACAAAATGATTATCACAACCAAGACCAGGTATGAAAACATTTGATCGTTTCATTGATTTATGATGTTTAAGAATTTTTTCAGCACGATGTTTACGAGATTCAAATGGATTCGAACGGATCATAATCAATAGGAATGCTACCAGATGATAAAATATAGCTTGTATGATCAACATTATGATACAAAAATAAAAATGTTCATCATGTTCGATACGTAAATGATAAAGAATTACTTGAATTTCTTTCGGACGACAACGATCAAAACCATATTGTAACATTACAAAACTTTCATTTATAAATCTTGATGGTGAAAATAATGATAAAAATTGAAAAAAATAATGTAATTGTTTCACCGGTGTTGCCACATTTCCAAGAAAAGCTAACAATGTTTGTATACATGGTATTGAAACAACTAAAATTGTCAGTTTTCCATTGGTTAAAATGGCCAATATATTTCCAATACCTTGTATGGATATTATTCCCAGTAAAAAGATGACATACAACCAACAGTAAATACCAGGTAGTATTGTTTCATAGATATCAATCATATAGATAAATATTATCATTGTTAATGCAATATGAATCCATTCAATTATTATACGTGAAAAATAGAATGCACCGGTGCTATACCAACCTGTTTTTTGATCCAAAGAAATAAAATTAATCAAAGATATTTTCATCAATAATAATATGAATCAACTTACCATTACGAAATTCATTCCAAAAATATCGAATATCATTTGAAAATAAATATGATGTTTGTACCATATAAATAGCTATCAATGTATTTGGACAAACAATAATATAACGAAATGACATTTCCAGATCGAAAATTTTATCATCATCTTCTTTGGTTCTATTACAAGTAATATTAAGGTCTTCTTGTGGATTAAAACAACCATCACTGTTTACCATTTTACTATCAAACATGAATAATAATAATATAGCTAAATATATAGAAAGATAACTGAATACAGCCATTGGTATCCATTGATATCCACGAACAAACATTATATAACGAAGAATCCATATCCAACATGATTGTAACGAAAATCGATTACGATTAGTAGGTATTCCATCAATAACAAAAACAGTATCTGTTAATACATCTTGATGCTCGGTCAGTATTTTTTCATCTGCTAATCGAGATAAATCTTTAACTTGTAAATCTTTGTAATTATTGCATGAATATTTAATCAATCGTTCGATGGGTGATAAATCTTCAAAATTTGAATCACATGGTAGATTATGTTGAATATCAGACGGTTTGCCCGAATAAACGCAAACACCACCTAATGCCAGAACGTAAAGTTGATCAAACATCATCAACGTTTCTATGTTTGGTTGATGAATACTTGTTATGATGGTCAGATCGTGAATTCGTGCAAGTCTAGCCAGACAAGCGACCAATGCTTCAGCTGAATTACTATCTAATCCACTGGTCGGTTCATCGATGCAAATCAAATTTGGCATACGGAGACTAGTCAATTCCAAACCCAGTGCTAATCGTTTTCGTTCTCCACCCGAACATCTTTGCACATAAGTGTCAGCAGTATCGGCTATACCCAATTTATTCAGAATGTTTCGTGCTATGCTTTCGTGATTTGTATTCGATTCTTCACGAACATTCTTTAATCTTGATGCATAGATTAAGCTTTGTAGCGCTGTCAAACCAGGTATTAAATGGTTGGAAACTTCTTGCGTTAGATAACAAACTCGAGTTGGACAATATTTGGTCAAGTAAAATTGACTTTCTTTACATAATTTGGTTTTCATTTGGCCATTTAATACTTTCAATAATGAAGTTTTACCAGCACCAGATGGACCCATCAATGCATTCAACGTTCCAAATCGAAATTGACCATTCAAATTTCTCAGTATTAGTTTTGATCGATCACTGATTTCATCGACAGAACGTATTTCGTAAATGGAATTCGAAGCAAATAATGTAACTGAACGCCATGCGACCATAATTTTTCCACGTGTAAATTCTTCAAACTCCAATTCTTTATCCTCTTTATGACGAGTTATTTCTTTTGAATCAATTTTCATCATTTCAATCGATGAATCATTGTAATCGATTGATACAAGTTCATCATTTTTTCGTGTGGAACGACTAGAATTGATCTTTACGTAGAGATTTGAAAAACGAATATACATCACACCGAAAGTGGCAATACGAATGGCCAATGTTGCTGCTATTATTTTGATAAGATCAGTATATATTTTATTCTGATCAATACCATAATCAACAAGAGCATATGATAATTCTGTTTCCATATCACATCGATCCAAAACATTTAGTGAATACATCAAACCATTTTGTGCTACTGATGACATCATTATGTTTGATATTAAGCTCAATATAGGTTTATTCATTTTTTCAATACTAAACATTAAACCACTAAACATTTGTATTGTTTGTACAATAACAATATTCAATATTAATACAATTTCTTGATATGATATTAATGAACTGAGTATGAATCCATAACTTTCAATATAAATATATTGAATCATAATGAAAAGTAGATAATGTCCAAAACGATTAAAATTCAATTGATTATCATCCACATATGTATGATCGATAAAAAAATAAGTCATTCCAGTAATATATGTGGACATTATGCTAATTTCTAAAGTTTTTACAGCCATAAATGACCAATAAAATGCACCAAGACTATACCAATCTTTGATTGGGAAAAAAGAAAATTATTGACCGAAAATCAATCAAAAATTTACTTACTATTACGATGTTCATTATGAAAAATTTTAATCAATGGCATAAATTCCAAAACGGTTAAACATGCAACAGCAAAACCACTGATTGCATTACCCATTGCAATATATAATCGATATTGATCGACAAGTTGTTTATCTTGTAATTGTTCAAAACATGTTGAATTCGTTTCATCACCATCATAATAATCATCGATTCGATAACAGGTATTTGGTCGAACAATTGATTGTTTGAATGATAATGAGATTAGTATGAAAAATGAAAAAAATATTAAAAAATGTTTCAACAATTTGGCACGTTCAATAATAAAAATTAAATTTGTCATTCGATGTAGATTTAATAATGAATCTCCAATATTGAATGTTTTTCGATTATTTGGTATAGTGTTTATTAGATCCAGTTTTTCTTCCAAATTCAATATCGATAACTTTTCTCGTTGTTCTTCAAGATTTAAGTTTGCCAATCTCTGTACGCCTGTATTATCGATTCCTATAAAAATCGATTAATCAATATGTCGTTGATAATTAGACAACATACCTTCGCATGCTATTTTCAAATAATTTTCAATTGGTGGTCTATCTTCTCGAAATTCCTCTCGGTAGTTTTGATGCAGCTTTATTTTCAGATTTTTAGGTGAATCAAAATAAATGCAAACACCACCTTTGGCCAGGATATAAAGTTGGTCGAATAGATTGAGAATGTCTGAACTTGGTGCGTGTATCGATACCAAAATGGTCAGATGATCATTATGATCGGCTAATCGACGAAGACATTGCATTACCAGCAAAGCGGAATTACTATCCAGACCAGTGGTCGGTTCATCCATAAACAAAAAATTCGGTTGTTGTAATGACATCAATTCCTGAGCAATGGCCACACGTTTTTGTTCACCTCCAGAACACTTTTCGAATTGATTGTCAAGAATTGTTTCGTCCAGTTGAATTTCCTTCAATATTTGTTCGATGTGATGATCCATTTTGGAGAAATCCTTTCGATTATTTTTGAATCTGAATGCATATTGAAGCACTTGTCGAATGGTCATCTTACCAATAATGGTTTCCTGAACATGTTGTTCGATCGAACGTATTATCGGTGTTTGTTGGTTACCACTACGGTCGAAATAGATTTCCGAGTCTGTTGACAATCCCGTTCCGCGTAATGTTCCATTCAGACAATTCAATAAGGTTGTTTTGCCCGCACCGCTTGGACCAAGAAATCCATTCAAACTTTGATAATTCAGATGACCATTCAATCTTCGTAGAATAATTTTTCGATCACGACCGAACAACAAACTATTCGCTTCATAACGTAAATTTCTCCATGCTATTGATACTTTTTTCAATTTTTCGTTTTTATCCATTTCATCTGACACACAACCAACAAAAAACAAAAACAACAACAACCAAATTTCTACTTATAAAATCGCTACAATATTTATTTATTCATTCATTTGATTGTAAATGCCTTTCATTTGAATAAGAAAATTATTATTCAATAAAAATATTCAATTGTCCTTTACATTGACATTGATATATATCAGAGTGTGTGTGTGTCTGTTTCTTATAAGAAAGAAAGAATTGCCGCTGCCCGCCAATGCAAGAGGGGAAATACTGAGACGGGAGGGTAATATGTGAGTGAGAGAGAGATAGAGAGTTTTAATTGAAAACAGAAAAAAATCAAAAAGAAAAAGATAAATACAAGCAAACATGCATCATCAGTATTTTTTTTTCTTCTGGTATAAATCATCAAATTATTTAAAGAAGATGATGATGTTTTTATCATCAAAAAAAAAAGAGGAAAAAACAAAAATTATTATTTATTTATTCATCAACATCTTTCATGGTCAACGCTCATATCACATTCGAAGCAACCAAAAATTTGAAATAAGATTTTTTGCAATTAGCATCATTAGCATCAATAAATTAATTATTGGTGGTCATTATGTTTGTTTGTTTTTTTCAATGCCAATGTCATTAGGTATTTTGTATTGTTTTTATTCGTTGTTGTTGTTGTTGAAAATTCATTATTTGGATAACAAAATTAAAAAAAAACAAAAATAAAATCATTTTCCGGACAGCCGGACTTGAACCAGCGACCTATGGATATCTTTTTTCAAATTATAACCATTGGATAATGGCTATAATCATTTAGAAACAAACTACAGTCCACCGCTACTACCAACTGAGCTATGTCCGGATTTTGATCTGATATGCATTCCGTTAAACTATAACGAATTACACTTGTTTGAGCATCTGTTTATTTCAACTTTTAATCACATTCTAATCGATTCAATCAATATTTCGATCGATCGATCGATCAATCGATGCAATGACTAATTTGTAAATCAAAAAACGAAACGAAGTGTTAAATTTTATTAATATTTTTTTGTTTTGTAAGGGATTAAATTATACAAATATAGAGAGAGAGAGAGAGAAAGATAGAGACTTGAGGATTAGCTAAATGAAGAAACATGATGATGAATAGGAAGCAAAGTTGCGGGTAATTAAAGATTTGTTAATAAGCAAAACGACGACGTTTAAAATTATTATTCTGATTTGATAATGTTTGATTCGAAACAGGTTTTTCAACAACACCAAAACGATCCTGTCGTTTTCGAATATTTTCCGATGATGCGGGCAATGATGATCCAACAGCGGAAACCTTTCCGGTCGAAATAGCACCACCAGCACCGAATCGTTGTTTTCGTCGCTCTATACGTTCACGTTCATTCAATGTTTTTGCTTTGTTCGAAACAATTTCACCAAAACGTTCAACACGTTTTAATAATTTTCCATCTTCACTTGGTTCGATTAATTTCTTGATTGTTGATTGTTGTTGTGCACCAAATCTTTGTACACGATTCACTAATTTTGGATCGGCAAATTTTAATTGCCGTAAACGTTTACGTTCTTCCGATGTTAATGGTATCGATGTTATTTTTGTTGCCAATTGTTTTAATGATGGTATCAATGTTGTTGTTGTTGTTGTCATTGATTTTGATTCAGCCAAATTTGAAGAATCTTTTGCTGTTGTTGATGTTTGTTTGATCATTGTTTTGGATTTTTGTTCAGTTTCGCTGTTGTTAATCGATGTTGATGTATCAGCCGATATGTTAGTCGATGATGTAGTATGAATATGATCACCAAGTAATAAATCTTCATTTGGAATTTTATCATCAATCAATTCTGAATTTGATGTTTCATCATCAACATCATCATCCACATCATCATCATCACCCAATATAGCATCTTCATCGATTTCATTATTATTCGATATTTTCGATACGTTTAATGGAATTTGTTGTTGTTGCAAAATTGTTGTTGTTGTTTGAGGAATCGAATTCGATGCAGCCAACAATCCTGAATCATTCACCAAAGCCTGTCCTAAACGTTGAATCAATTCGGTTTTATTTCCCGTTATAGATAGACCACGTTGTCGAAGATGTTGTTTAAGATCAGCAACCTTAAGATGATTTAATGATGAAAAATCCATTATGAGAGCAGTGAGTTGTTTGCGAAATCTTTTCGAATGAAAAAAATGTATGTCAGGAATGAATCCTTTCACAAAATTGATGATTTTTTTTTCGTGGATAAATTTAGAAATGACAATCAACCAACCAACCAAAACAGAATCAACAAAACGTTGTGTGATGATGAACAAAACAAAGATTTACATAACCCAAAATATAAAACCTGGTGGCGCCCATTTATGTAGCTGGCTAGGTTGAAATAGACTATTAAATAGGTTAAAATAGTACGTGAAAATTTTTTTTACAAAAATACCGCGTATTTTATTTGTTTATTTTTTGATTTTTGAATTAAAATTTTTATTTCGAAAAAAAATGAATTCACCAAAATCACCATGTCCATTTGGTGAACAATGTTATCGTAAAAATCCTGAACATTTTGTACGATATGATCATTGTAAACGAAAATCACTTGATGATCGAAATGTTTTATCGAAAAAAATATCAACAGATAAAAAGACAAAAAGTCCATTGATAACAAATTATTTTCAACGAACCAAACCTACCAACATTAATCCATCGAACGTATCCGACAAAATCGATGATGATGACAACCATCAAGTCAATCCAAATCCATCAACATCAAGCAGCAGCAATCAAAAATCTTTGGATCAAGATTCATTGAAAAATTTGCATGAAAAATTATTTCTAACCGCTTGTCCGGATGAAATATTTCTTTTTTGGAAATTTTGTCAAAAAATATCTCGCCAACATCCAGAAGATGCATTCATCGAAGCATTAGGTTTAAAACTTGTTGGACCATTCGATTTACTCAATAATAAACTCGATGAAAGTCATGTTGATAGTGATGGAAACATTCTGATTCATTGGCGTTATTTATATGATATACCAGAATTTCAAACATTTGCTATTATTGATCCAAATCATCATAATCAATTACGATTCGAATCAATTACATGTGAATATCATTTGGGTTATTTTCGTGATCAACCAACCGATTGTAAGCCTTTAGTAGTTTCGAATGATTCGAAAAAATCCTGTATAATCAATGGTGAAGGTGATAATATTTTCACCACTTTTTATTCATTACTTGCGGATAAACGATTTAAATCTTTGACGAAAAATCATCATAAAAAGAATTTACGACAAAAATTAGAAACGTTTGCCAGTGAAAATCAAATAAATTTAATTGATACGAATAGATTGTTGAAACAAAGACAACAACAGATACAGGCACCAACTTTACATCAATTTGGTTTGATTGTACCAATCACCAATGATAATGTTGGTTATCGTCCACTACCAATCAACGATACTAATCTAAAGCTTTTATTCAAAAGAATCATTGAACTTGATAATGATGAACAACGAAGAAAATGTGTATCGATGAAAGAATTACAAAATATCATTACATTAATACAATATGCAAATGATGAAAAAGATTTTGGAATGGGATTGGAATTTGGTTTGGATTTATTCGAAAGTGGACATCAATTTTTTCATCGTTCATCTGAACATTTACTTCGACAAGCATATGAATTTTTAGATCGGGAAAATTTTTCCCGAATTTTACATCAGCATTTGGATAATGATAATCGTCATCGACGACAATGGCCAAATTTATCGGCTATTTAAACATTTTTTTTTTTTTGGTTTTGTTTAACTTTACTCAATTTTATTCATTTATTGATCATCATCAAACAACATTTAAAAATCAATATCTTGACCGTCGTTTTTCACTTAATCTGGCCAATATTTTTCGTTCCAAATCATCACGTGCATAACAAATAAATGATAATATTATTATTAATAATATTATTGTTAATAAAAATGAAAATATAATGGCAATTTCGAATGAACAATTTGTTATTATTGAACGTATTTCATGATCAACGGCCATTCAAAAAGTTGTTTTTGTTTTCTTGTTGTTTCAATCACAAACATTTAACACACACACAAAAAGAGAAAAAAAAGATTCGAATATCTACAATGTTTTTGAAAATAAATTAATTTTTTTGTTGTTGTTGTTTTCGAGAAAAGGACATTTTGGAATTTTTTTGTTGTTGTTGTTGTTGTTGTCGGAAATTCGATTTGATTTGATTTTGGAAAATTTTTGAATTCATTTTTCGTTTTGTTTGTTGTTTGTAATCATCAATGGTGTTATATAAGAACTTAGATTTTGTTCATGTAAAAATTCATATATAACAGTTCGAATTGAATGATCAATGAAAGCATAAACAAATATAAATGTCATTATAAATGTAATAGTATAGATACGAATTTTACGTTTAAATGATCGATATCGTTGTTTTATGGCCATATTTGTCGATTCAATTGATTGGCCAATATTTTTTGTTATCAATGTTAATGGATTTTTTGATGATAATTTAGCTGCTGCGGATGATGGTGATGATGATGAATGACCAGATGAATTTTTTTGGATTATTGGTGTCAAATTATTCTGGGAACTTTTCAACAAGAAAATAATTGATTAATCTGGAAATGACAAATGTTTGTCTTACCTCAAATATCGAGTTATCACAATTCTGTTTGAAGCATTTTGAGTATCAATCAAACCATGTTTGTATGGCCATATATTCAATGATCGTTTATTTATCGATCGAATCAGTAAATTAAATTGTGGTAACATTTTTGTCAATTGAGGATTTTGTGACTTTGATTCCAAATCAAATTTCAAATCATGATTGAAAATTGAACGCAATTTTTGATTATCAAAAAAACAAAATTTTTTTGAGGACAAATTCGAGTCACATTCATAAATGACATGTTCAAAAAAATAATTTTTTTATTAATAAAATCAAAAAAGAAAATCAAAATTCATTTGTTGTTGGTGTTTTTTCGGAAAAACAAATTCAATAAAAGAAAAAACATTCATTAATGTCTGTTGTTCAAGAGAGAAAAGTATAACAAAACAAAAAAAAATTAATGATAATGCCATTCATGCCATTGATTGATTGATTGTCTTCAGTGTTGTTGTTGTTGTTATTGCTAAACAGGCTGCTAAAGTGCTATCGTTCCACGTAAAATGTCACGAATTTTTTTCAATTCAGCAATCGATATTAAAACATTATCCAATGATGATTCAAAATCCTGTTCCGTTTGATTATTAACCTGATTAGATTGTTGTTGTTGTTGATTATTTTTATTGCTTGTTGATTGCTGCTGCTGTGTTGCACATTGATTAATAAATTTTTGTATTATTTCCAAATGTTTTGTCATATAACGTGAACAAAAATCCGTTTTATATTTTAGATTTTGTAATTCTTGAGCTAAATCTTGACAACAATCAAATGAATGTTGCTGATTACTACCATCATTTCCTTGAAATTTTATCAATTTATCTTCAATCCATTCGAATGAAACATTTTTCAATTCATTCGATTTTTGTGAATGTTGTTGTGTTGATGATGATGATCTTGAATGATGATTATGATTATGATGATTCGAGAAATTATTCGGTAATTGAACAGTGGAAATTTTTCCAATACCAAACATTGATAATGATGGTGGTAAACGATTTGCCATTTGTACTTTAATTGCATTCGGATTCGGTATGACAAGTGTTGAATGTTCAACCGGTTCAGGATAATTTAATGAATCACGATAATGTAATGCTAAATGTATAACATAATGTACATCACAAACCGATGGATAACGCATTAAATGATTTAAACATTCAGCATAATCACAAGGTAACAATAGGCTACGTATAACAATTAACATTGCAGTAAATATATAATCACAAAGTGAAAAATCATATGCAAATATTGCATCCCATAAAACTAAAAGATCTTGCATTTGAAATTCCCGAATGAATAATAAACGCATCCATCGTATACCATAAATTTGTGGTGCAATTTTCAAATCTTTTAAATGTTGAAATAATTTTTCATCATGTCGACGTAAAATTTGTTCCGTTATCATTTTCAATTTTATACCAATTTTTGAATAACAATTAAAATCAATATCATTCGAAAATGGTTCCATATTAACATATTCATTTTTTCTTATAGTTTGTATTGAATTATTATCATACCATGAATCAATACTTTCCATTATGTGTGAAAATAAAAAATATGAATCATGTTCTAAATATCGTGGATCCATTAATTCTCGGATTTCTTCTCTGAAATTAAAAAACAAAAAACAAATTTCGAATGAATCAAATAGAAGGAAAGAACATTCCGAATTTCAAACTTACTCATCAAGACCATTTTCTTGAGCAAATAAAAATGATTGATGATCCGAATGTATAACGAATATGATTGGTGCTAATATTTCATGCATTCCTTGTTTATATTCAATATTTGAATTTTCTCTTGCATAATTAAACAGAATATCAACCATTATACGTTGAATTTTTTCACCTTGAAAAAAATTTATATCCGGAAATGCTCGGACAACATCTTTTTTGATTCGTGATTGTAGTTCATCATCGGAAAAATATTGATTCCAATGGCTCTATACCAAAATGATGATGATTTGAATAATGTCAAAATACATGATAATTTAATTAACAAAACTTACAGTTTCATCTTGTGATAATGGATTATCGTTAGTTTTATTATTATCATCAGCTTGAAATTCTCTAGGATCATGACGATATTTATTCTGTAATTCTTGATATTTTGAACGTGTAAGACGTATACGTTCAATACGATCGGATGATTTTTCGGGTAAACTTTCAAGAAATATCTATAAATAATAAATGAAATCAATCAATAATCAACCAAAAAAATAAGCAAAACTTACACTCCAAGCAATCGAACGAAATCGATAACTTCGTAGGCCACATTTCAGTGCAGTTTGTTTTAATGTTTTAACATTTTCAAGTGACATATATTCTTCACTGAAAGAAGATTAAAAAACAACATATTAAAAATCTTGAAAATAACCAGAAAAACTTACAGATAATAATTGTTGACAATTCTTTCATCAATTGTTCGATGTTGTTGTTGCCGTTGTTGTTGATGATCTTTCAGTACATCTTGAGCATTTTCAATGATAGCAAAACCACTATCATCATCATTTAGATTTTCCATTGTTTTTCTGTTGATTAATTAAATACGGAAACGGAATGAAAACGGATTTATATAAAAATTTCTGTTTGTTTTCAATCACTCGAATTTTTGTTTTGAAAAGTTCGATAACCGATCAATTTTCTATAGATGATGTTCGAACATGATCAATGACTGGACAGAAAAATGAGAAAAAATCGGAATGATTCGTTAGCCAGAAAAAAAAACAAACGAAACGAATTTCAATCTTGAAACAAGGAAATGTTGTTTTACACTGTTTCAGGTAAGGTTAAACGAGAAAAATCATCATCATCATTATCCGTGGAAAACAACAATGATACAATATTGAGAAATTGTCACTCGTTTTTTCTTTTTTTGCTTCTCAAATCAATCAAAAATATCAAAAAAAAATAATGTTTTTCTTTTCATCACAAAACAATCATCCATCGCCACCACCACTATATCGATGGTGAAGGACGAATTTTTTTTTTTGATGTTCGATTTATCTGTCTATTTTTTTCTTGTTCGATTTTTGAATGAATATATTCGAAATGATATCGAAGTGGAGAAAAAAACCTGATTCCCAAAAAAAAATTATCTTATCAGTTTTTTTGAATGTTGTTGTTTGTTGCTCAAATGATATTATCGTTCGAAAATGAATGAATTTTTTGTTGTCACATAAATATAGCAGCTAAATATATGTTTTTGGCTTGTTTTTCTTAACCCATAATTTATCATTTTGATTGATTTAGCCAAATTGGTCCATCAAATGATTGATTGATTGATTGTTGTTGTTTTTGATTTCAAATTCCATAATATTTCTTCTTAAAAGCTTTAATCAATTTGTAAAATCAAATGAAACCTGCCATTGATTTACTACGTAATGTCCTTCAAGGAAATCGTACAGCATTAGCACAATCAATAACATTATTAGAATCAACATCAACTAATCGTCAATTTTTATTGAATCGTTTAGAATTTATTCGTGAATTAAATAATGTTCATTATGAACAAAAAAAACCTACGATTAGAATCGGTATATCTGGTTCACCTGGTGTTGGTAAATCAACATTTATCGAATCATTTGGTATGTTTTTAGCCGAAAAACTTAATAAACGTATTGCTGTATTGGCTGTTGATCCATCTTCGGCTATTCGTGGTGGTTCAATTTTGGCGGATAAAACTCGTATGCCACGGCTAACTGCTCATCCGAATGCATTTATACGTCCATCACCATCAAGACTTCATCTGGGTGGTGTTACACAATCAACAGGTGAAACAATCCTATTATGTGAAACAGCCGGTTATGATGTTATACTAATTGAAACTGTTGGCGTTGGTCAATCAGAATATGAAGTTCATCATTTATGTGATACATTTGTATTGTTGGTTGCACCTGCATCAGGTGATGAATTGCAAGGTATCAAAAAAGGTATTGTCGAAATGGCCAATATAATTTTGGTAACAAAATATGATGGTGATTTAATAATACCAGCACGTCGTATGCGTGGTGAAATACGTTCAGCAACAAAATTTATAAATTATCAAGAACGTCCATCAGTTCTATGTGTTTCAGCACGAACTGAACATGGTATTGAAGATGCATGGAAAGAAATTGATTCAAAAGTTAATGGAAATCTCCAAGCAAAAGAACAACGAAGACAAGAACAAAAAATTGGTCTTTTACGTATATCATTGATAAATGAATTATTTAGCCTATTGAATCGTACATTAGATAATGAAAATTATGAACAACGTTTAAAAAATAATCCAAAATTATCAATCTATGAATTAGTACAAGAAATTATTCATCAAGATTTAGCAACAGCTTTAAGTAAAATTAAATATTAAAAAGAGATAATCATTGTTATTGTTTGTTTATTTACATAAATTTTATTATTATTAAAGATCACTACAAATATGAAAAACTTGACCAGGATTCATACCGGATAAAAATCGTATTTCATTTTGTCCATCATCAGTTTTACTAATTGGTCGTTGTAACCATTGACGATCTTGATAATAATCCATACAATTTTGAAATTCTTTTTCATCATACTGATTGCATTCGATCGGTATAAATGGATCAAAATCTTGAAAACCTTGATCGGTTAATAATGATTTTGGATAATCACTTAAATGTTTAACATTGAATGGACCCCATTGTTTATATGTACGATCACGATCATTTTCTTTTTTCGGTATACCAGAAATTGATAATAATCGATATGGTACAACTAGTTTTTTACAAACAGAAGCAATAATTGCACCATTTTGCCAATCTTTACGAAATAATTTCTTGAATGCACGTGCAATTGTTATATCATCAACAGTGGCAAATGTACGATCAGGAAAACGTAATCTTGATGGTTCATAAAATGCATTTGCTTTATCCACAACAACCATTAAACGACAATTACCTTTTGCAGAATTAAGTTTCAGCTCTTTTAATAATACAGCCATACAATCACTTGCATGATTAATTCGATTAATACCATGTTCAATGATTGATTGAATTGGATCACCTGGTTCAGTATGTTCACGTTGACTCCATGTATAACGATTTAATGTTGTTAATTTTAATTCATCTAAAATTGTCATATTTTGTGCTTTAAATGTTTGTAACCAAATAGCAGCATCAAGTGGTGTATCAATACGTTTAACATTGGTTGTTGATTGTGCTTGTTCTTGTGGCCAATTTATCCAATCAGTTGGTCTTGTACAATTTATAAGAATGAATTTTTCCATAAAACCATAATGTAATATATGATTTAATGAAAATGTTTTACCCGATCCTATTGGTCCATCTAAAAGTTTAGAAAAATTTTGATTTGTTATAATGATTTTTCCATCATTTTTACTTACAAAGAACATAGGAATTTGGTGGTTTAGTAAAATCCGTTCGACGAAGATAATCAATAACTTCTAATGCCGGTTTACGTATCATAATGGCTGTTTCTTGAAAAACTTTTAATGTTTCTTGTTGTAGTTTATCAAAACCACCAAGTAAAAATAATCTATTGGCAATATCATTAGGTATTCGATAAAATAAACCATGATGAAGATCATTATGTTCGGCTGGATTTGATAGATCAGTACGAAAAAATGCTCGACTTAAATCTCGTTCTTGGAGATTAATTTCCGAATTTTTAGTGGTCAATTTTCGTTGTTGTTGTATGATTGATGGTACAATCCGGTTGTTGTTCAGAAAAACACGTGTTAAATTCCATGGTGATAATAATTTTAGATGATTATTCATTTTTGGATTTGGAAAAAACAAAACGAAAAATTTCCGAAAAATCGAACACAAAAATAACATCACATGTTTCAATGATTTCCGTTCATAAACAACGGATTCGAATGTTTTCGTTTCCACATGTCTGTCCTGGCGTCATCAAAAAGTTGAAAAATTTATCAACAAAATTTTCTAAAAGAAAATATCTTTGTGATTCGTGAATTATCGCGATTTGATTTGTTGTTCAAATATTTGAGTTTTAGTTGCGATTATAGTTAAAAAAAACCTGTTTCTATAGAAATATTTTAGTCGTTTGTTGAATGTGTTGAAATATTTTAATCGCAAATTTTAAAACTTTTTCAAGGATAAATTTTTTTCATTCGCTTCGCTCTTTTCTCAAATCGAAATTCAATTTACATTTTCAACAAAAAAAAATTCCACATCAATCCGAGAAAGGTGTTTAATTTTGAATTTTGAAAAAATCAAATCGGCAAAATGGCAACCAAACAACAAATTGTTCTTGTAACCGGTGGTTCCGGTCTTGTTGGCCAAGCAATTCGTATGATTGTCGAACAACAACAACAACAACAAGAATCTTCATCGAATAATAAATATCAATTTATATTTGTTAGTACAAAAGATGGTGATCTTTCCATTTTGAATGAAGCACGACAAATATTTGAAAAATATCGACCAAATTATGTTATACATTTAGCAGCAATGGTTGGCGGTCTATTTCGTAATCTAAAATATAATCTGGAATTTCTTCGTACAAATTTAGCTATTAATGATAATGTATTATTGTTGGCAAAAGAATTTCATGTTCAAAAATGTATATCATGTCTATCGACATGTATATTTCCGGATAAAACCACATATCCAATCGATGAAACAATGATACATTTAGGACCACCACATCAATCGAATTTTGGTTATTCATATGCAAAACGTATGATCGATATTCTGAATCATGCATATTCGGATCATTTTAAAAATAATCCCGCTGATTATGTTGTTGACGGTTCGAATCAGTTGCCAATTTTTACATCAATAATACCTACAAATGTTTATGGGCCATATGATAATTTTAATCTTGAAGATTCACATGTTATACCTGGATTGATTTACAAAGCTTATAATGCTGTTCAGGATGCTAAATTGAAAAGTAATGTTTTTTTTCCTTGTTTCTTGACTTGATTTTAATTTTTTTTCTGATTTCTCTTTAGATTCAAATACGGCTAAATTATTGGTATTTGGTAGTGGTCAACCACGACGACAATTTATCTATTCATTAGATCTGGCCCGATTAATTCTATGGACAATGGAAAATTATAATGAAATTGAACCAATAATATTGAGTGTTGATGAATCGGATGAGCTGAGTATTGGTGAAGCAGCTAAATTGGTTGCCGAATCATTCGAACGATCATATCCTGATATACGGATGGAAATTCAATTCGATACGAATTATAGTGATGGACAATTTAAAAAAACTGCAAGTAATTTAAAATTACGTCGATATTTACCCGGATTTCAATTTACATCAATGTCCGATGGTATTCGTGATACAATTCGTTGGTTTATAACCAATTATGATGTGGCAAGAAAATGAATTTTTTTACACAATTATAATTTGAAAAAAAAATTTGAAACATTCTTTTATTATTTCGCACTAATATTATATAAATTTGTGAAACATTTATGAATTATTTGTGTATCTGTCCTTTTTTTTAAAAAAAATTGAAATTCTTAATAAATGATGAATGGCTCCAAATCAATCAGATTGTTAAGATAATCTGAGGTAATCCATCTAATTCCCAGCTTTTTTTTGTCAATATGCAGTTCGATGAAAATTTTGTGATGTTGGTGCAGGTAATGGTGGTGGTGGTGGTAGATATTGTGATGTTGGTGGCATTGGGGGAGGAGGTGGTGGTGGAACCGGCATTTGATAAGGAATCGGTGGAGGAGGAGGAGGTTGAGGAATACCACCTGCCATTGATGATGATGATGATGGCGGTGGTGGATATAACATAGCCGAATTTGCAGATATTGGTGGCGGTGGTGGCTGTATAGGCGGCATTGAAGTTTGTGGATATGAAGGCTGTTGTTGTATGGATATTGATTGAGATGTTATCGTTGTCGCTGGTGTTGTTATTGAATTCGAAGTGGACAATAAAGATGATGATGATTGTGATTGAGATGATGAGGGAAAATATTGTTCCAAATTCAAATGTTTATAACGAGGCATTTTAGCTCGTAATTCTTCCAGCGATAGATCTTCTTCCGGATGTATAATACGACTTGTTGCTGTTGTTGTGACTATTTTATTGACAATCGTAGATGTTGTTGAAGCTGTTCCTAAAGCAACAGACGATGTTGAAGATGATTGTGATTGTGTAACCAAAACCGATGGAAATAATGGTTTTGGTATTTCGACCGTTGATTGTGTCGGAATTGGTGGCGGAGGTTGCTGTGACAAAACAGGCAAAGCAATTGTAGTCGAAGGTATCGATGGTGGTGGTGGCTGTACTGGGTTTTGCATCATTGGATGATGTGGAACACCTGGTGGTGGTGGTGGTTGATGATGAGTTCCTGGAAGCGAAAATCCTGGCGGCAATGGTGGTGGTGGATGATGATGAGGATGAGTTGGCATACCGACTGGATGCATTAGATGAGGAAATTGATGTGGATGATGATGAGGATGATGACCTGCACCAGCGAATGGCATTACACCCGGTGGTACCATACCGGGTGGTAGATAAGGTACACCAGAAGCACCTGCACCAGTTGGCATAGGCATAGGAAGAACATTAGTTCCAGCGGTTACTGGTGCAGAAAGTATTGGTACTTTCGGTATTATAGGTGGTCTAGGCGGTACTATCGGTTCAGCTGGTGCTACATATTCACCATTTCCTTTGGATTTTTCATGTTGACGAAGATCAGCTTCAGGTATACCTTCCATACCATAAATTTCGATATCAACATTATTACGATTAGGCAATGCATTTGGAATCTTATCGATTGTTTCTTTATGTACTTGCATACAATGAATAGCTAAACCAGGCCCGGTATATAATTTTTTATGACATGTATGACATTTAAAATGTTTAGCTTTTTGATGTTGAATCAATATTTTTTCATCATCAAATTCTCGATTACAATACCTGTGAAAGATTGAAAAAAGAAATTCATTAAAAACGAATGAAATTTTTAAAAATGAAAAACGGTTTCAAACTGACCAACACCATGGTTTTGATGGCTTTTTCTTTTTTCGTCCCATTATTTTCAATTAATTATATTATTATTATTATCTTTTCGTTATGAATTTTTTTTTATTATTCCTGAATTCCAAGCAAAGAAAATAAATTAAAAATTCTTTAAAAATTTATAATTTAAAATTTTTTTGATCAACAAAAAAATAAACAATAAATCAATGTTGAACGTTATTACACAAAAAAAAAATAAGAATAGAATAATCGAGCATCATTCTATACATCGACTATATCGACCAAAGAGGGTTTGATCCGTATGAAATAGGCGAAAAACGTGGCCGAGTGATTTTTTTGTTCCTTTGTGCATTTAATTCTTTACTCGCATTGATCGATTGAAAATATTTAATTGTCATCAAAAATTGGAAGAATTTTTTTTTGCAAAAATGGTTGGTGAATCGAAAAAAGATAAAATTCGTGATATGCTCAAAGGTATTGAACTTTATAATCCAAACAATCTAACAATATTGTTACAATATTTGGATGAACAATGTGCCGATAATCATTATGATTTGGAAGCTAATCTGACCATTCTTCGTTTGTATCAATTTCGAATGAACACTGAATTTGGTGAAGAAGAATTGGATAAAGATGCTATTAAAAAAGTTATTATTAAAATTTTATTGAAAGCATTGACTGCATTACCGAATACGGATTTTATTCTTTGTAAAAGTTTAATTCATCCAAGTTTGTTGGATGAAGAAACAAATAATGATGATGAATTAAAACATGTTCTTAATCTACATCAATTATTGGAAACATGTAATTTTGAAGAATTTTGGACCGTATTACGTACTGAACCAGCTGTTTATTTGAATATAACCGGTTTCGAGGATTCAATTCGAAAATTTATCTGTTATGTTGTAAAAATTACCTATCAAACAATGCGAAAAGATTTATTGGGTAAAATATTGGGTGGTTTGGATGAAACCCAGTTGAAATATTGGATCAAAATAAATGAATGGGAAGAAAAAGAATCGGAATTTGTTTTCATTTCAAATCAAGAAGAATTGATTAAATCAAAAAATATTAAAGAAAAAATTGAATTTGATAATGTTGCACGAGTAGTAGCCGCTTATGCTAAACAATAAAGAATTGTATTCTTTTTTCTTTTAATAATCATTAATATTTTTCAAATTAAACAATGAAATAAATGAATTTTTTTTTCAAAAAAAAAAAATTAATATTCTGGTGGACGTGGTGGTCGTTTATAATTAAGACGTTTATAAAGAAAATCAATTCGTTTATTTAGATCGATCCATTTTTGTGGCCGAAACCATTGCCAATGTTGTTTAGCTTTTCGGCGACGAATTAACATTTGCATTTCATTCCCACGAAATTTTCTTAACCAATTCGGTATCGATGACATTGTATCGGTTGGATGGATTTTACCATCCTCACCAAGTATATCGATATAATCATTTTGACCAAACATTGCTGATTCTTTTCGCCATGGATCTGGTTTCTTTTCAATCGGTATTCGATTTATCGGGAAATGTTCATTTGGTATTCGTGGTAATAAACCTTTCGAATGATAATGTGGTCGATAACCAAATCGACGTACAAAACGTCGTCGATCATAAAATCGTACAATATTACATAATGGACTAGCTAATTGATTTTCATTGCTTAATAATGTTGTAATAATAGGATTTGTATGAATAAATGTTTTTCGGAAAAAATTTAAACCAAAATTCATTTTCAATTCGAAAAATCAAAATCAAAAATCGAAAAAAATAAGGCACACACACCGTAGCCAAAAACAACAAAATTGATCATATTCATGTCAAAATAGTCGCATAGATAGACACGCCTACTTATCTGGATGGTTTCACTTTACACACATTCGAATATTCGAATCCAAAACACGCCTTTTAGTTATTTATTTTTCACATTTGAAAAAAAAAATCATATCATATCATTTATATAGATACCATGTGGTTGTTTGTATATTGTAAAAACGCAAAAAGCTAAATTAAAAAGCGTTTTTTTTATTAAATTCGCGTCGCCGTTGTTTTCATCATTCTCACTGAAATGAACCCTGGCGACGAAAAGTAAATTTTAATCGAATCATATTTTATCTCGACCAGAAACAAAAAAAAACCAAAGCAAAAGCCAAAACCAACCAAACGAAAAACCATCGAATGATAATGATCATTATCTGTTTGAATTAATTTTTTTTTTCACTATCAGTTTAGAAAAGCAAGCAATCAATATTTCAAGTGTTTTTTAAATAATCTTTTTGCATATAAAATTCATCATTTATTTGATGATCGTTTTGGTGTTTCTAAATGTATATTTTGACCTTGTTTGTTGAATTGATTTGAATTTAGTGTTTGGTGTGTGGTGTTTTGTATTTTACAATTTTTCTGTTTTTTTTGGGAATTTATTCAATTCGTCCAATCATTTTTCAACCAAAGCTTTCAGCCGTTTGTCCAATTGACAACGACGACGATAACAAACGATCATCTGATCAAAAATCTTGTCCATTCAGTGATAATAATAATTCGAAATCGAATACTAGAAGAATGCCAAATATTAAAGTTTTTAGTGGATCATCACATCAAGATTTAGCTAAAAAAACTGTCGATCGTTTGGGTATTGATCTTGGAAAGGCAGTGTTGAAAAAATTTAGCAATCAAGAAACATGGTATGGTATTTTTTTTTCTCGAAATGTTTTTTGGTAATATGATTTTCTTTTTCTCATTTTAGTGTTGAAATTGGTGAATCAGTTCGTGGTGAAGATGTTTACATCATACAATCAGGATGTGGTGAAGTGAATGATAATCTTATGGAATTATTAATTATGATTAATGCATGTAAAATAGCATCAGCATCAAGAGTAACGGCTGTTATACCATGTTTTCCATATGCACGACAAGATAAAAAAGATAAGGTAAGAAAAAAACTTTCCCGATAATTCTTTCTTTAAAAAAAATCTATATTTATTCCTATAGTCACGAGCACCAATCAGTGCTAAATTGGTTGCCAATATGCTTTCGGTTGCTGGTGCTGATCATATTATTACAATGGATTTACATGCATCACAAATTCAAGGATTTTTCGATATACCTGTTGATAATCTTTATGCTGAACCAGCTGTATTGAAATGGATTAAGGAAAATATTCCTGAATGGAAATCATGTGTTATTGGTAATTCTTGTGTATTTATTATCCAAAATAAACAAAATTAATTTTAATTTTATTTCCCAAAAAAAAGTATCACCTGATGCTGGTGGAGCTAAACGTGTAACATCAATAGCCGATCGTTTAAATGTTGATTTTGCTCTGATTCATAAAGAAAGAAAACGTGCCAATGAAGTTGCATCAATGGTATTGGTTGGTGATGTTATGGAACGAACAGCAATTTTAGTTGATGATATGGCCGATACATGTGGTACAATCTGTCATGCTGCTGAAAAATTAAAAGAAGCTGGTGCATCAAAAGTTTATGCCATATTAACACATGGAATATTTAGTGGACCGGCCATTCAACGTATTGAAGCAGCACCATTAGAAGCATTGGTTGTTACAAATACAATTCCTCAGGAAAAAAATATGCGTGATTGTACAAAAATTCAGGTAAATTTTTTTAAATTAATCAATATTAGATCTTTTTTAATTTTTTTCTTTTATTTTGAAAATATCTTTTTAGTGCATTGATGTAAGTATGATTTTGGCCGAAGCCATACGTCGTACACATAATGGTGAAAGCGTATCATATCTATTTTTGCACGTTCCAATGTAATTCGATTCAAACATTCACACATCTTATTCACCATTCGATCAAAAAAAAACAAAAAAATCCATCCATATATAATCCAAACAATTTTGTTTCACATAATATATTAGTGTATGAGTGGTTTGTTTGATTGATTTGTTTGGTAAAAGTGTGTGTGTGTGGATGGATGTGTTTGCATGTGAATTAATTCATGATTGATTGATTGATTCAATCGATCAAAATCCATCATAAAATTTCTTTCGTTTCAATCACCCCCTTTCCACTGCAAAAAAAAACAAAAATTCCCAATTTTTTTTTGAAAAAAGTGCATTTTTTCGATCCAAATCTCTAATTTTTTTGAAATTCTTTATTTTGTCCAAAATCTTTATATTTTTTTGGGGGTGATTAACCAACAAAATTAATAAAAAATTCATTCCATTAGAAACAACAAAAAATCAATCAATTAAACACAAACACACATTGATCACCGGAATCTGATATTTTTTTAAAAAAATGTGATTATTTTTTTTTTTTGACGAATATTTTATCAATTTTTTTGTTGGAAAATGCACCCACACTTACACACACACACAATTGGCTTAGCAATAAAAAAAATGTTCTTTTTTTTCTCTCTGTTCAATCGTTTATCAATCAAACGGAAAGATTTTTTTTTGTTGAAAAAAATCGCGGATGCCCCTTTGTTTTTTTAAACTTTTTGATGATGATGTCATGATGAGGAGATTTTGCAAAGTTAAAAAACCACCATTGATCGATCATCAATCAATCATTTTTTTTGTGTTTTTTGGCTTTTTCCATTCAATTCATTATCATCACGTTGTTTAGATAAATTTACTAAAAAAAATTTTCCATTTCTTTCATTTTTCTCTCTTTTCTCTCTCTCTTTTCTACTGAATTTCTATGTTCGTTCTGTTTCTATTCTTTTATCGGTGGGGGAAAAAAATATTCTTTCGGCTGAATTAACATCGCGATCAAATGGAACCCAAAAAAATTCATTGACAATTTCCGTACAGATATCACATTTTATTGCCGAAGCTATACGTCGTATACATAATTGTGAAAGTATTGGATCATTATTTCAGGAGGTACCGTTTTGAAAATATGGATGGAAAATTTCAAAAAATTTCAAAAATCACCCCTGCAGCCAAACAAAACGCGCACAATCTTAAATGGGAAAAAATTGTCTCATTTATTTAATTGTGTAAAATTGGCGCAACAAAAGTTTTTTCTCATCAAATTACATCGCATTACCACATCATTAATCGCATGCTCAGGATGCCTCCATCCTTTATCTTTTCTGTTTCCCACACACACACAAACTTGATATTTTCTTATTTATCATCAAAACATTTTTTGTTAACCATTCACTACCACCACCACCGACAGATATTGTATTTGTATTAAAATTGTATTTAAAAAAATTTATAAAAATTCAATTTTTTTTTAATTTATTTTATTTAATTACTCATTATAAATGATAAATGTATTTCTGGTGGATGATCTTCTTCAAGGAAATTTTCAATTGGCAAATGAACCAGTCATCGGCGGCTTGCTTGCTTGTTGTAAGATCGAACCAACCATCCATCCCTTCTTTGATCCATTGATGATTAACGATAATGATATCTATATGGATAATATGGACTAATTTGATTATAGATTTTTTATATATTTTCTAAAAAATTTTTTTTAGAAAAAAATTTTCAAAACAAAACAAAAAAAACTTACGGTGAATAAGCAGGCATATGATATGATGATGAATATGATGATGAATCTTGTCGTTTATTTTGTGCAAATAATAGGCCAATAATAAGACCTTTTAGAAATTTTTCTTCGCCCATTGTCCAAACCATTGTTTGTATGGTCAACATAAGGATTGTCCATATGATTAACAATGTTCGTTGAACAAACATTATTGGAAAATTTATTTTGTTCAATCAAAGAAACAACAAAAAAAATCATAAGAAATGAAACACTTTTTTTCCGATGTCATTTGATTTTTATACTTTACTCTCTTGATCCAAGATATTTTGAAACAAAAACAAGAAAAATAACAAGAAAAATGGAGAGAATGGCACCCGTAACCCGTGTTTGAAATCATTATTATGGAAAAAAACCGAAAAACAAAAAACAAAAACATTAAATCAAACTTGAGCAAATCAAACTTGATGACCATTCAACCGTCACAATCGTATCATTAATAATCAAATCTTATAGATGTCAAACCGTTAATTAAATAAATAATCGATAATAATCATTATTTAAAAAGTAAAAACGAAAACAGAAAAAAAAATTATATACTTTCACTATAGACTTTTATTTTCATTGATCAAAATCGATTGATTGATTGATTTACTTTTTTTTTCTTTTTTAATCAATCAAACAACGAAAATCAACAACAACAACAACAACAGGACACGCGTTACAAAGATAATAATAATTAAAAAAAATCAAATGATAAAATTAAAATTGAAAAAAAATAATAATCAACAAAAAGGGGGACCAATAATTATCAAAATGAATGCATTTTTTTCTTGTAAAAACTGGAATGTTATAAAGTGATTGGGTTTTCTTCCCCAAAATCAATCAAATCAAAGAAAATCAACAATAATAACCAATAATTAAATGATGACCCATTGTTGTTTGTTGCTGTTGTGAAATAGATTTCTGATGAAAATGGAATTAAATTATATTGCTTTTTCGTTGTTTGGTGTTACACATTCAATCAACTAAATTATTTACATGGAATAAAAGAATATCAATGAAAATGAAAATGTACTTCCATAGTCGGTATAATGGAATAAATTAGATTAAATTCTTCGATCAAGAATTCATTGTTTTGTTTGCTTTTGCTGAGTAATCTTAGTATAAAAATGATGTTTCAAATAAATGCTATATGATAATCGTAATAATTGTATGTCTTTGACAATGATAATGATAATGATGATAAAAAAATGTTAATCGGTGGTTTCGGTATATTCTGGTTATGGTAAATAAAAACAAAAATGATAATAATGATGAGAACACTTTTGTGGAATGACGATGATGATGAAAATTTTTTTCACATTTTGGTCGGTTTATATGAATATTTGATTGTTGTTTGTCGTATTGAACGTTCCGTACAATCATGATCATTAATCTTTTTCATCATTATTGATGAAAATTTATTTGAATTTTTCGATACATCTTGAGTTGATTTTTGAGAATTATTATTATTATTAATAGCGGTTGATTCATTCGATAAATTATTGTTATTAAAGCAAGGTTTTTCCGATTTTTTCGATGATGTACGCCGTAATAAAACTTTATCACGTTTTTCTTTTGATGATGTTTTTTTAATCAAACCTTTTGTCGTTGTTGTTGTTGTAGCCGATGATGATGATGTTGATGATAATGATGTTGGTATTGTTGATGATGATAATAAATTTTGAGATCGAATACTTGAATTATTCGAATGATTTCCTAAACCACCACCACCACTATTTTCACCTCCTTAATATTTGGAATGTAAAAATAGTTTAAAAAAAGCAAAAAAAATTCAAAAAATAAAAATAAAAATAACCCTTACTTGATTTAAGAAACCATTCGGAACGTGTTTTCATACGTTGTGTTTGTCGTTCATGAACGATTGGTAAAAATGTTAATGATTTTGTACTTTCAGCATATTGATTAACATTTTTTAAATTATCCATTGGTTTTGGCTGATTACCATTATTATTAATCATCATCATCATTGTTGTATCATTAGGTGATGATTCGGAATTTGTCAAACGATTATTATTATAAAACTACATAGAGAAACACAGTGTTAATTAAATTTTTCAAAGAAAATTAATAAGAAAAAAAATATTACTTTAACCCGATTATCTTCCATCGATATAATCATCATATGTGGATCATCATTTTCAACACTATGAGATCGTATTGATTCATCACCAATGATATTCGATGAATCCATCATAATTGAATTGGTATGATGTTGAAAATTAGTTGAACACATTGGTGAGCTATTACATTCGGGTATTGATTTCATATCTGTGTTTGCAAAAAAAAAATGAAAATTTTTTTAGTAAAATTTAAAGCAACAGTGAAAAAAACTGAAAAGAAACAGAATTTCTAAGGAAAAATTGTGTTTTTGAATATGAAAAACAAGCAAACCTTTATGATGATGATCATTAACAATCACTGTTGTTGTTGTTGTTGGAATTGTTTGTGAACAAAAATTCATTTGTTGTTGTTGTTGAACAATATCATTATTAGGAAGATTCCATTTACGATATTCATTATTTAACCATTGATTTTCTATTGATCTACATGCTTCACCTTTTTTCAATGATTTTCAATCAACACACAGAAGAAAAGAATGTCGATTCAGGAAACGGTCATGCAAAAAAGAATAGAGGAAAAATAAGAAAAGAATAACCCTTTGAATCCTTTTTAGAAATGAAAAACTTACTAGGCACTAAATTTTTCGATGGATAATGATAGGTAAATGTCCAATTTTCTTCAACATTTACAATTTTACCAGTCATCCGACAATAATAATCATAATTATCTTTACCAAATAAATTATTAATACCAAAATTATCGATTAAAAATTTCATTATCGATGAGGCAATCTAATGAAATGAAAAAGTTGATGAAAACAAAAGAAATTTTCTGGAAAAATATTATTATTATTTACCTTAAAACGTTGAACATCTTCAATTTTAGCAAATTTATTACCATCCGATATACAGGAATGAAAAAAACTTGGTGCAACCGATATGCTTATCGATTCACTTGTCATTGATGATTGTAGTGAATCGGATATCGAACGAAACGTACCGAATAATAAAACGAGTAAATGTTGTGTTACAATTGGTAATGAAAACAAAATTCTTTGAATTTGAAGAATTTTTTCCTCTGAATAATCATTATTCGTTGTTTTTATAGCCAAATTACCAAATATTTCGAATAATAATTGTTCATTTTTTTGACCAAAAATACCATCAGGTAATTTTCGTAGAAATTTTTTCAACACTGATGCTATTGTATGTACGGAAAATTGTTCCAAATTTATTAATCGTCCATTCTATTTGGTTTGGTGGGAGAAGAGTAAAATGGTTAAATTATTTGAAAGAAAAACCCTGTAATATTTACCTGTAAAAATTGTATCAATTTTTTCATATTTGCCTGATTACCCGGTGCACGGAAGACATCTTTTTTATATGGTGCTTCTTTATTCATTTTTAATATCATCATTATCAAAAGACTAGGTAGATCATTATGTAAACTACAAACATCGACAAGTGG